AGAAAGGATCAGACGTCACAAAATTCAGTAACAGTCATTGCTTGCTTTTCAACAGGGCTGTGAGAGGAAGTGGCGATAGCATAGCACCACTGCCTCCCCTTCTATACAGTAGTCTGTTGATTAGAGTGAAAGACCCAGGTGTACCACAAATTAACTTCTTTGCTTTCCCCGAGAGTTGCGCTGATCCCCTTACCATGCCCAATCTACTGCTCTGCTTTCTGTTCCCTGCCCAATCTGAGACCATGCTGTCTGCCCCCTCCCCAGTCTGCCACGTTATGCTTAGAGGCTACTTGTGCCACCCATGCTCCTGGTTGGCTATTCCTGCTTTAAGGCATTACAAATGGCTGTCCCTTCTAAATGACTGGGTAATGGAGCTCCTTCACCTCTTTTTTTACATATCCTTTAAGAACAGTAGACCTCATGTATATGTATTATAGAAGACTATGAGTACGTGAGGTTACATGCTGAGTCTATGGCAAATGTAACTGTTCCTAAATCTCCCAAAGAATATATTATCTGTACAGTTGCATGGATATGCATGACACTTTGCAGGCAGAGAAAAATTGGTACTCCCTGCCCTGAGTTTAACAGCTAAATTATTCTTGATATAGGAGGGATAAACAAAAGGTAGAAGAAGCGTCGACAGCAGTGGAAAAAAAACCCTATTATTTGTCCATTTTATTAATAGTGTATGGGTTTTTGTAGTAATGTTTATATTAAATTCATATAATTGTAGAATTTTGGTATGTTTAAATATTCAGGCACTGCAATGTGTAAGAAAAAAATGATATTGTATAAAAACAAATTATATTAAATCCTTTACCAAGCAAATAGTCACTTGGTTAACTCCCTGCATTTCACATGAAGTAATCTGCACTTCACAGAGTAGTTCTGATCAGGAATTTAAAGCTCAGCAAAAGTATTTTTCTAGCACAATGCTCTGTTCAATGTTCAGTAGTCATTGAGAAGGCTAGAAGAGATAAGAGGAAAGGCTATTTGTAACGTTTTTTTTTTTTTTTTTTTTTTTATCCTGTACTTTATTGAAAAGACCTGCCAGTTTGACAAATAACATGAGCAAGCTAGGAATTATTATATATCCAGCCTGCAAGGGTTTCTTATCTTAAAACCAGCTTTTAATATGTTTTTATGGTTTTCTTTCAGTGTTAAATCCTACCTTTTGTTAAAAGTATATAAATACAAAAATCATTCGGAGTGTTTTTTTCTAGATCAAGTGAAAATATACTGTGTGTGTTTTATTTTAAATGTTTTTCTTCTGTCACCAAATACATACATCTTCCATATGCGTAAACAAGCTGCTCCTGCTCACATGCACTGAATTATAGCAAAAGGAACTTGAATTTACAGTATAATGGGAAGGTATTGCTAGGATGCTGTAACAATAAAATGTGTGCCTTGTATAGTTTAAATGGCAAAATGTTCCTGAAATAGAAACTGAATTCATAATTGTTCATCACTTTTATTTTCCAGTAAATAATGTAACTCTGTCTGAAGCTCTTGTGTAATTCAAATTCAACCAGCACATCTAGTGCATGTGTTGCACTGTGATGTAAGATGTATATCTTTGTACTTGATATCATGCTCACCTTGATCTAGCACTTGTGATGAGAAGTAATTAATTGCTGCCCTAATTTTGTGATCTGCTTTGTTGAAGTTGTTGTTTCAAGAACAGCTACTGGATGGCATCTCTCTAGAATACTTTAGTTTTCACCTCTCTACCTGGGTAGTGGAAGGTGTGAAGAACATTAATGAGATACATTAATAAACTAAAGATGATTATGGGGAAAGAGAAATTTGGGGATGTACTGATCCATACCTGACGCTGAACAAAAACTTGTTTTATTTCTTTCTGTTCAGGATGGTAGACTGATTCTGAGTCACTGCCAGATGTTGCAGTTACTGGCATTTAGATGTCTGTATGTTAGATACTGCGTTTACTTTGGCAATAATAGAATATGCTTTCAATACCTACCCCTGTTTCAGAAAGAGAGACTAATTGATTTATCTGTCACAGACATGCTGACTCACTGTTGGTTCTTGTGTGCCTCAGTAAAAAACTTGACCTCCTTTAACAGTTCCCCTATCCTCTTTTTAAGGGTTTCCTCGGCCTAAAGACACTGCGGTCTCTGGCTATAATTGCCTTTGTTTAGGGTCAGAAACAGTTAATTTAGATCAGTGCTTTGAGGCAACATTTTTTTCAGTTTGATTTGTATATAGCATACCTTTAAATAGACTCAGTTATTAGTGTAGTGTATATATAGCAGCAACAGAAAAGGCTGGTCTGGGTGCAATTCCCCACATTGTCCTCTTGCTGTAGCTACCAGAGTCTCAGATTCCCCTCCCTCTCCCAGTTTCTGCTACCTGTCCTCAGCCCTGGGTATGAGGAGACATGGTATACATGTGGGGCTGAGGGAACACATGGCTGGGGAGCTTGGCAGTGCATGGCTTGGTGCTGGGATAGCACAGCAACAGATTGCACATGACTACAGGTATTAAACTGTTCCCATTTTAGGAAGGCTAAAAGAGTGGCGTTACATGAAACGCAGATTAGACACTTTTGGTAGCCAACACAACTAAGGCTCCTTACCTGTTCCAACCTATTTCCATAGCAAATTCTGACTCTTTAAGCTGTGTTTTAGAAGGAAGAGTTTTAACCCTTCTCTTTCTAATGTGTGTGAAGACTATCTCAAGGACAAAAATATTGCATTCCTCTTTTGCGATAGCTGTGGTGTTCGTTCTGTGTGAAAATACATCATCCAGTTCAGTGTTTAGGTTCTGAGTTTCCTTCTGAGAAGCAGCTCAATACTTAAACCAAGGTTGTCCAGCTGGCAGCCTGGGGGTCACATGTGGCTCTGGAAGGGTTAACCTATGGCCCCCAGGCTCTTGGTCTGGCTGCAAGTCCTTGCATTGTTCTCTTGCTGCAGCTTCCAGAGTCTCTGGCTTTACCTCCCTCCCCCAGCTTCTGTTGCAGGTGACTGGGGCTAGCCTCCCAGAGCGCCGCCTGGCTCAGCCCACCTCATGCAGATCTGGGGGCACATGCCTGCTCCCATGCCCTCCTGGACTGCTGGGGCGCAGTGGCGGAAGCCCTCTCACTGAGTCCCACACCCCCCTGCCCCGGCTGGCCAGCTTGTCCCAACCCCCTTCCCTCCCCGCTCTGTCCACAACAATAGACTTACCAGCTGGAGGCAGCTGTGTCCAGCGTGGTGAGGACTGCTACCTGTTTAGTCTATGGCCAAATCTCTGAAGCGGCGCCGAAACTTTGGATCTGATTTGGCCGAATCAAATCGGGACAGTGATTTGAATCTCCTCAAATCGAATCACTGTCCCTCTGAATTGGCCAAATCTGAATCCAAAGCGAATACTTGTCGCTTCGCATAGCCCTAATATATAGGCTTCTGTTGATTTTAATAGGAGCTGCCATAACATTTCAGATTAGAGAATTTGGCTCTCGTTAAAGGTTTATTTAAACTGGAAAAGTATCACTTGGGTCATTTTGACTGTAAGTGTGAGTAAACCACATAATCTACCTGTGTGTAAACATGCACATGCGCACACACACTTATGCACACACTTTTTCCAGAAAATACATTTTAAAGTTTTTTTGTGATTCAAGAGACCTAATGTACAACTGCACTTTATCTGGTGCTAGATTGCCCTCCACAGTCCTATGTACATATTCCCATAAACTCTTTAAGTATAAATTCTCTAGTTAATAATTACCTGAGAATCATATGACAATGAAAGTGTCCCTTCCTTGGATCTTGACTTTCTTCATCTGCATTTGATCTTTAAAATGTATATACTTTTGGAGGTATTTATTTTTTCTTTAATGCTTGCAAAATGTTTAGCAAAATTCTTGGCATTAAAAATATTGAAAATATTTTAATAGTTTTAAAAAAACCTAAATATCATCCTATGTACCTCCTTTGTTTGTTAGGTTTTCTTAGCCTCACAACACACTTTTCCTTTTTAGGTATGATTATTTAGGAGCCTTCTACCTGAGTGGTCATACCAAATCCATTTATCCCCCATAAAATAGATTTTCAATGGTATTATACATCTCATCTTTTTAACTTTACATTAAAAATATGAAGCATGTCTGCAACATTATAAGTGCTTTGCATTGCAAATCTAATTTACATATGGGTCCAAAGGCAACCTTAATTACGTAGTCCAAAAAATTAATTCCCTGAACAGTTGTTAAAGCTCTTAGAAATAGGTCAGCATGGCTTCATGTTAAATAGTTGGCCCCTTGTGTGCTTTTTGCCCTCCAACCCATGATGATACAATATTTCTCTCTGATGATTGCACTTGTGGCATATTCATACTACTGAACAGATATTTTTCTCATTTGGATTCCCTTAGCTTAGATTTTAAATTCTCAAAAATAACACACTATAGATATTCTGTATGAAAGAAAAGATCACAAAGAAGGTGAGTATTATTAAAGATAAGCATATTATCCTGAGATTGGTAGGGGCAGAGTATCAGAAATTTTACATCCATTACTGTGCCTTTTGAATATATATCAATCAATAACACCATTGGCATCAAGAATTAGGAATACAAGTTATACCTTTTAAACAATGATCCATCTGATGGGACACACCAAATTTTACATTGCATTGGGAGCATGGAGTGACTTTTGCTTTGAAGTTCCTCCAATTTTCCTTTGATATTTGAAGTAGTAATTATCAGGAGGTGTAAAAATATATATATTTAATGGGGTATTTCAGTGCATTTAAATTCTTACAGGATACAAATATATCTTAGAGCAGAAGGAATATTTGTTTTTCAAGAGGGAAGCATAAATTAGCATTGGAAATTGTGCTTGAAAAATACATGTTTCAAAATGTTATTCATCCTTAAATATAGCCCACATGCTTTTGACTTAATTTTGGTATTTACATATGTAATATATTTTCCTCTAAAGTCTCTTGAAACTGTTACAGGAACTTACATGCTTTCCTTTTGTCTTTCAGCTTGTGATGAATGGAAAATTTTACCTAAACCTAATCTGCATCGAGATGTGAACAGATTTGGGCATACTGCCGTTGTCAGTAATGGGTAAATGAAGCATGTTTTAAACTGCTATGACTGTTTTTGCTGGAAGAAAAACTATGATGAAAGTTAAATTTACATAAAGCACAGTTCCGTGATGTACAATTGATGTTATTTATTAGCATGAATATTAGTCCTCAAGAACAGCTTTATATATGCTGGTCATTTGTGCAATAAATAATTTTTATGAAGTAGTTGAGGAGCATTGCAGCAAAGCCCGTGACCACAGGGGTGGCCGTGACACCCCCTGGTGGCTGTGTGGCCCCTGCCTGGCTCAGGTTCTAATGTAGCCCTCCCTTGTTCACTTGCCTGCCACACTTTAGTCTTATTGAAAGTTATAAAAGGGAGGCTGCCTGTAGGCTCTGAGTGAGACTGAGCCTCGTATTGATCTCCACTGTGCCCCTCCTGGGTCCCTGCCGTCACAGTCCTGCGCCCCCCCCAGGTTAGTAGACACTCTCAGCCTGTTGGCACCTCTGCTGGGCACTGTGGCAAAGTGGGAACTCCCTGACTAGCCACAGTGCTAGGCTCCTCACCTGCCCTTGGGCACGCCACCCTCCTTTTTTTCTCTGCCATGCCTTGTTGTCTCGTTGTTTCTTAATAAGGCGGGAGGCTGCCCTTCGGACACCCTGTTCTCCTGGGCCTAAGTATGCAGCTTCAACCATCCCTATACTGCATCCCAAGCTTTGCAAACGTTCCTAAGAGCTGAGCTCTGCTGTGGCCTGAGGCCAGGCTCAGCTCATCCCAGTGTTAGGCCTCTCGCTTTCTGCCCTATTACGGGCCAGACTCATATCACCTCCGTCTCACTGAGGCCTCTCCCACTCCACTACTTCTCACATGGTCTCTCTCAGACTGCCCCTTTGAGGGGCCACTCTCATACCGCCCCTCCTTTTCCAAGGGCCACACTCACCCTGCCCTTTTCTGAAGGGTCCTGGGGCTTGTTTTCCTGCACTCCCTGGACAGCAAGCGCGCGGCCTCTTGGGCCTCTCCCGTGACCCTCATCCGAGCGAGCACTGGGCGGTTTGCAGAACCCTGGAGTGACTCTGCTTCTAGTCCTTCACCGGGTCACTCACCCAGCTGCTCTGAATTAGGGGCTCCTGAATTGCCCCGTTGTTTACCCGCGGCACCTCCTCAGCCGTTCCACCCAATCAGCCTCTGGCCCACCTGTGGCCTCAGGCGCCCGAAGGCTTACCTGGACCTAACCTGGCCCCCATGTTAGCAGGGCCTACCCTCAAGCCCCCTGCTCACTGGGACCCACTTCACACACTTTCCTCACAGGATCTCATCTCAGGCCCCCTGTTCACAGGGCCTCACTACTCACCCCTCTCAGCATTCACATGTTGTAACTATATCCCGGCCCCTAACTCTGGCCTCTCTCCTTGGGCTCTGAGCCCCTCACTCTCACTGAGCTCTGTCCCCCACACATGCACAATTGGGGCTCCTTGCCCCTTTGCTAGGCTCCATGCCCTTTGCTAGGCTCTCCAGGCCTCCCAACTGCTGCTCTGGTGCAGGCTGTGAGGTGCCCCACTGCACCCCGCTCTACACCTCCGCCTCCACTGAGGCCCATACTGTGCCTCCCTATGCTGGGGTCTGGGGTCACACACATATCCCACAGGCTCAGGTGGCCGCAGCCATACCTGGCCCCACTCTCCACACTCCAGGGCCTTGCACCCCACATAGGCTCAGGTGGCCGCAGGCGTGCCTGGCCCCCAACTACCTCTGATGTTAATTGACCCACCTGAAAGTGGGGTCTGGGATTTAGGCACCCCTACTCACCTTCCACTGGGGTGGTAACTGGCCTGGTATTTCTGGGGGGCTGTTCTGCCACAAGCAGCCCCACCAGGCCACCCATCCCTGGCAGGGTGCAGTTTTAGGTCATGCCCAGGACCAGGAGCCTCCTAACCATCCCCGTCAGCTCTTGCCCTTACCTGATGTTACCGGAGCATCAGCTCCAGCAGGAGATGTTGTTTCCTCGGTGCCAGGCAGCAAGTGCTGCCTCCAGCTCTGCTGGCCTGAATCTTAAAATGTCCACTCATCAGGGCTGAGCTGCACCTGCCAGTTGCCTCTTCAGGCTCTTGAAGTGGCAGACACCAGAGGTTAGAATAGAAGGGGGTAACGTCCCCCTTACAGTAGTTCCTGGGGGAGGTTACCCCTGCTGCTCTGCCAAAGCAGGCTCCCCTCAGAGCCTGTGAAATAGCTTAAGTGGCAAGCACCCCCAAAAGTGCTCTGCCACAGGCACCTATAGCCCTGAAGGCTAATTGCATGGCTCCAATCCGTCCCTACACCACACCCCAACTCTCGCAGGTGTTACTGTAAAGATGTTTTCTCTCGTGGACTTTGGCCTCCTTGACCTCTGCCCCTTTACTCTGGCTAGGCCTTCTAGCCCAGGTCCGTTGTGTCGGACCTGGCTTTGAGGTGCTAGCTCAGGTGTGGCTCTCTCAGGCACTGGGCCCCTGGCCCCTGCCTAGTTGCACCCCTCTCGGGCACTGGGCCCATTTGCCCCCATCTGGCTCTGTTGCCTTGCATTCTGCCCACTCAAGGCTCAACAGGTGCTCCAAACCTTGAGCCTGCCTCTGGCAGGTCTTAAGGTGATCGTGTGCCCCTCGGGAGCTAATGGGACCTCTGTATACTGCCCCTACAATCCCAGCCTAAACTACCGGTGTATCTGCAATGTAAACAACAGGACCCTGGGCTTATAACATGAGCATTAAGGGGAAGCAGTCCTCTGTTGCTTTAAGGGGGAAAACCTTCCTTCCACTGTAGTGCTGGTATACCTTACAGGTCTGGGCTAGTCTCTTGAGCATCCCAAGCCTCACTGGGGTCCCACAGGTAAGATATAAGTCCATTGAGGAGCCCTGCTGCCTGCAGCTCTTCACCCTGTAGCTGCCAGTGAGAGACTAGCCTGCTTGCCCTCGCCCTCTTGGGCCCTCAGACCCCTGGTCCCACACGCAGCCTCTCCTTTGGGTTCTCCCACATGCCGCCCCTCCTCTGGGCTCTCGGACCCCTGGTTCTGCACACAGCCCCTCTGGCAGCCACCTCAAACCGTCTAGTTTGAGTTTAACATAAAGCAAAGGCTACTTTCCTGTAATACGTCTTCTTTCTCTGGCCAGGGAACTTGCCTCTGTTCCTAGGCCTGCAGAATTGTTTAGGTAAATCCCAGTCCCTTCAGGAACCCAGCTGCTGCTCTTCTGTCAGATGCTCCTCACTTCACAGCTGCCAGGGAGAGAGTATCTGGCTTATATAGCTCCAGCCTGAGTCCTCTTCTGGTCAGGTGAGTCTCTCATTAGTCCCCTGTGCCACCTGCAAGCAGCCTCCTAGGCTGCTAGCTCCTGTAAAGGAGCAGGCACCCCCTCAGTCCTCTGCTACAAGCATGTTTAGGTGAACACTTAAATCAACCGTCTGGTGGGACTTTTCCCACTGGAGTCAGTTACAGTGTGTTTGAAATTGAACATCAAGTATAGTCATCACTTGGGTATAACATGCAGTCCGTCTTTCAGTCAATAACACACTGTAGACGGCTGATTTTTTTTTTAAAGTTAAACAGTTCTCAGAGGAATTTTCTTTATTGGGTGAAAGATAAGGTTTGCATGAAAAGTCAACGTGTACCAAGAGCTACTAGTGTCTGACTAGAATAACTGTTCCGTAACCCTTTTACAAAATGCATCTGTCACAGCCCCTTTGTAGAGATGCTCTTAGTGGAAGAAGCCCAGTGTGACTATTTATACAGGTATCCTTGTAGCTGAGGGAGAGATCTTGCATCTGTGCAAATAGCTTTGGCACCTGGTAGATCCCCTGAGATTTGGAGGGTGCAGCTGCCAAACTCCTTGTTTGTTCCCCACAGTTTTTGGGGTGTTGTACACACGGGGTGTACAGTGTGAATTAAAAACAAGTGGGAATCTTATCAGGGGATAAGGCACAACGCTGCATTTATTGGAACATAAAACATGCAACATAAAAAGAATAAACAGTAAGGTTATCTGCTTTACTCATTCCCATGCATATTCATTCATTTATTCACTTATACAAAAGAAACAAGTACTCACACACACAGATAGTTAGACAGTCCTGCAAAGGTTACGGTGTTACCAAGTGCTAAAGTCGCTTAGGTCAGTCTGGTGGCCAGCCAGACTAACCACGAGGGCTGGAGTCAGGTCTTGTTGAACGAGCCCAAAACTCCTTGCAGGTGGAAAAGACCCAAAGCCTTGTCTCTCTGTTTATTCTTTATAGTGATAGCTGTCCATACAAGCCTATGGATTCTGCTGAGTCAGACGTGAAAGTCATCCTCCTTGTCCTGTTGTCAGGCTAGGATTAGTAGGACATGATTTTCTGGCTTTGTAGTCTGCAGTCTTCAGGCGGGGTTGTTGCTTGCTGTCTTCAGCCATCAGGGTGAAGCATGGTCTAGTATTCGGTAATCCTTAACTTCTGACTCGACGTTGCTGTAGTCTTTAACCATTAAACCACAGAAGGCTATTTTCACCTGCTGCAAGAGGAGTCGTCTTCCTTCACGTTGTCACATACGTACATCATTCATTCTTTCATTACTGTCATGACCCAAAAGGCATGATTGTGTGTGTGTGCTTCGGCACCAGAATTATCCCCGTCAAGTTGCAGAGCATTGCACGGGAGAGTTTCCTGTAGCAAGAGGAAACCCCGGTGCAGGGACGAGTTTCCCGCCTTTTCTGCAGCTTCTTTTGCAGAGTGCATTGCTCATGTTGCAAGAGGAATGCACGGTGCAAAAGAGTTCCCGCCACCGGTATGCATGGGTACACGGCAGGGTAATAGAAACCCTGTGTGAGATCCAGAGGAGCGTGGTGGCCTGATCTACCGCCCACCTCTTCCCGTCTTCAAACGCAACTTTTATAAGACGTATTTACGATTCCTATTTTGGTGGCTCGTTCACCCAGAGCATCCGGAGCTCTGCACCGTGGAGCCTAGCAACCTCCACGAGACCGTCTGTGTTGTCTGTCTGTAACCGCAACTTAATCAAGCTTTCCAGCCTACACCACTGCCATCTCGGTGTAAGTAAACAATCTTTTAAACTACCGCTACGCGTCCGTGCCTAATTCCAGCTCGAAGGCCTTCCCTCTCCGCCCCGGCGTGCCCGGGCTGCTGGCCACAGCCCGCGTGCAGCGCGAAAAGGGCTCGGGTCGCTCCCAGCCCGCACAATTACCTCTTTTCACATAAGTCAGACATACTGCAAATCTTACATAAGCATTTTCCTTATATTAAATTTATGTTCTAAAATCATGAGACCAATAGGTCAAATATATTTATGCTAAGCAATAGGAAATTTAAAATAGATGGTTAATTCCAGAACACTAATAATGACTGATTAAAATATTATAAGAAGTAAATTATAACAAGATTAACTTTATCTTAATGGGTTAATATTTCATTATATAAAAAGAAAAACAAAAACATAAGCAATCAAAGCAATTATAGCTACTGCAATACTACAGGGGTAAATGTCATACCTCTGATGGAAGAATTTGTAAGAAACCTTTAAGAAACTGTCTTCTGTTGGCTCTTAGCTGTGGGTTTCACCATAGGTGGGTATGATTTATAGCACCTGTTGGTACCATAAACGATGACTCCTTAATGCCAAAAATTGTATATCGCCTCTTCTCTGTTATTTATTGTGTTTTAATAATCTTAATATGTAAATATACTTGGGGCTTTTACAGCTTTTTCTATGCATAAATATTGTATGACTTTTTCAAAGTGATGCAAGGATACATAGTAAACAATAATAATAATAATAGTTCTTTACCATAATAGCTTGCATAGCTCAGCAAACAGAGCACTCAGACTTCACTGATAAAGTCTGTGCAGATTGTTTCATTAGTAGAGGACTGCTTATAAATAAAAATGTAGTTATTGCCAGGTTTAATAAATTATGGTAAGTGGAATTGAAAATGTTCACATTCTTATCTAAACTGTGTTCGATGCTTTAGGAATTGCTATTTACCAAGAATTGGATTTAAGTGGCAAAAACATCCAATTCTATCTTCAGATCTTGTTATATGAATTTGTGATGCGTCTCAGAGCCCTTTGCTTCCTATAGCTCCACCAAACTCCCTTCCATTTTGAGGGTACATGATGCCAGAGTAGTATGGATTGATTTTAATTCCAAGTCGTCTTAATTTAAAATGAGAGAGAAGGAAAGCGATGCTTTCAAAACCAAGTTGTCTTTTCTGATTGCTGCTTTCATTGAATCAGATATTCATTGTCATCTGAGAAAAATACTCACCTGTTAGCTTCTTTTACTTGCTCTTGGGATCTTCTGTCTAAGAGAAATTTCTCTGTTCCTGTAGGCCATCTAGTCATATTGTTCTGATTATTTCATTCCCAAGGACAGTACTCTTCCTTGAGCAATCTCTCTTCCTTCTTCCCATTCATTTTCTGTGCCACTCTATAATATATCTTTAATTTGGCTGAGCCTAAGCATACTCTATTAAGTTTCAGTTAGGGGTAACATAAAAAAACCCCCAGTGAACCATTAGATTTACAAGGAAATAACTGACACGGTTTTAGAGAGATGTGAATGATATTTGTGTGTGCTATAGAAAGCAAGGTGATGTAACTAATAACATTTTACTTCTAAAGTAGTTATATTCCTTTGCTTTTCTTATAGGTCCATGTATATATTTGGGGGGTTTTCAAGTGTTCTTTTGAATGACATCCTTGTGTACAAGCCTCCAAACTGTGAAGCATTTAAAGATGAAGAACTATGTAAAAATGCTGGTCCAGGGATTAGATGTCTGTGGAACAAAAACCATTGTGAACCCTGGGAATATGGGCAAGCTAATAATGTCCTTAAAGCAAAGTGTCCCAAAAAATCAGGTGAGTAAGAGACTTATCTCCTGTTTGTGTTTTGCAGTGAATTATTCTTATACAGTGTTACAAATAAGTATAAGGATGAGAATGGTAACTATGAAAATGAGGATAGAGAGAGGTGGCAGCAGTTATCAGTGTATGGTAGCTGAAGAAAAGCATTTGAATGAGGAATGCCAACAGATAGAAAATAGGGCTGTGTGAAGCTTTGGTAGCTGATTCAGTTTGGAAGAGATTTGGCCTGATTTGGGGACTGAATCTCTGAATCCAAATTGAATTGGGAGACCCATTAAAAGGTCCAAATTGAATCGGAAGCCTCCAAATCAATTTGAAGATGTGGGCGGTCCCTGCTCGCTGCTGCAGGGAGCTGGACCCGGGCTCTGTGCTGGTAAGTAGGGGAAGGGGGGCTGGAGGAGGGGGGAGGGAACCACAGGGGGACTCCTACTCGACCCCATCCCCTGCCTGCTCACCCAGTACCCCCATGACTGCTTTGCCTGGCCCCAGTGTCCCAGCACTTTAAACGCCTTCCGCCCCAAAAAGCCCCGCACTAACCAGCTGCAACAGCAGCTATCAGGGCCTCTGGGGGCTTGTGACAGAGCCCCTTGGTGTGGTGTGGGGCAGTGGGAATCGCCTCTCTGCCTGGCACCTGCATGGCAGCTGTCACATTGTGTGGTTGCAGTGATGCTCAGCAGGGCACTGTGCACTATTCTGGAGCTGGGGCAGCTTCAGCAGTCACCCGGAGCCCAGCAGCACTCAGCCCGAGCAGCCCCAGCTCCCGGACAGTGTGCAGAGTCCAGCGGCACCCTGCTGAGCCGCACTGCAACCTCCCGATGCAACAGCTGTTGCTCGGGTGCCAGGTGGGGAGGGCTGATCTCTGCTGCCCCATGCTGTGTATGTGTGTGTGTGGGGGGGGGGGGGGGTTCTGCCATGAGCCCTCAGAGGCCCCAGTTGTCGCTGCTGCAGCCAGTGAGTGCAGGGATTTTGCTTTTTTTTTTTTTTTTTTTTTTTTTTTTTTTTTTTTTTTTTTGGTGTTGTTTTTTTGTGGG